TATAACGCGTCGAAACAGCATTGTCCATTATTTACATGCGGACACACACACTCAGGTGCCCGCGCACTCAGGAGTCTTCGGAGAGGCAAAAGTTGCTAGTCCGCGGTAGCGGCAGCGGCAGCCTGGCCATCAGGTCCGATTCGATAAAAGATGGATGATCCAACCGACGGCCGTACAGTCGATCGGTCTCCGAGCTGACGCCTCCGAAGATGAAATGCACCCTTGGCGACCCCAGAACCGACCCTAAACCCCCCCCCCGGCATACCCCCGTTTCTTCCCTCCGCCTTTCCCCTTTCCCCTTCTCGCGCGATAGCACTTTGCCAAGGGCATATTTATGAGAAAGGCGCGTGCCCCGCGTCGGAACGCACCATCGTCTCTTGGATATACGCGATTTGGCATACAAATTTCGTCGTATGTAACCCGGAAAAATGTTTATTGGTCCGACTAAGGGTTATTAGGTCCGGCTTCTAGTTGATCTGCTTACGTAACCAGTCGCCTCACGTAGCACCATGAAATTGGGTCCACCAAGTCGAGAGTGAAAACATAAGTCTTTTTTACAGCCAAACTGCTCTGCACTTTGCATTCCATATGACGCGGCTTATAGCCTGTGCCCTTTGAAAAATTGTAACGAGAATATTTCGTAGATAAAAAAGATATTTCTATAAGAATGAGAAACAAATCGAATATTCAATAAAAATATTCCTTCGCGAGCAATTCAATTACATATATATACATATATATGTACATTTAATTTATACGTGTATATCTTTTTGATCGTAATATATACGCTTACAGAATAAGAACAATGAATGACAGATGTTAATGTTTGTATAGTATTTGTACTAGACGAGATGCAATCCGTGAGAATTTCGAGAGAATGCCATTTCATGGGGTGCAAGAGAATTTATAGGAATAGTCGAAGGAGTGGCAGAATGAGAAAGGACGCGATGTGAGGACGAAGGACTACTGGTTTCCTCGCGGGGTTCTCGCACGGCGACCAGAGAACGGTCGTACCAGAGAACAGCAGTACATTATTTCTTGATGTCAAATAAAGCAATTAGCATGTGCCCTGACCAGGGTCCGCAGGTTCTAACCCGAGTAATCTCGCCGGGGTCCCCGGCGTGTGCGACATCTTCATCAGAGAGAGGCGGACCCTCCTCTCTTCTCCTTTCTCCGCCACTTTCCATCCCGTCGCCCCTTATGCCGGACGATGGCGCGATCACGTGACTACTCTGCACCCCTAGAGACGAGGGATGCTCGATGCTAGGGAAGAGGGAGAGCGCGAATCGACAAGAAGAAGATGGCGGCTCGAAAGGACGAGGGAGAGGGATTGGGGGGGGGAGGAGAAAAATCAAGGGGGGGGCGGGAGAGAAGGTCGTGTCCACTGAGTGAAGGCGCTTCCAAGGGAAATTTCACAAAGGCTGACCCGCTGGTAATGAATGTTATATAACCCTTTTAATGCTTTAAGCCTCTTAGATTTTTCAGTGCGCTCTCGACGCGCGCACCTCCTTCGTTTCCGTCCCTTCGCCTTTTCTCCTGCGCGAGGAGTGAACCAGCAGAGGTAGTTGGGCGGCAGAGGGGGTGACCGAGGGAAGTCATGCCTCAGGGTAGGTAATTATGTGGCGGACGTAAATTAAGCTTGTTTAGATTGGGATTTTTATTAAGGTCTTTTATGAAAGAGAGTGCCGCCACTAAATGGCGCACAGTATACTCTCCGACACCGGTACTCCTTTAAACGCCACCGGAACAGACCCGCAATACGCATTTATTTCGCGACTAACGCTTTCGACAATGAGGGATTTTAAAGTCTCTAATTTCAGGAATAATCATATCTTATAAATTGATAAATTAGATACTCAATTGTTACGCGATATAAAGAAAGAAGTTGATCCTTTCTAAATTGTTACAATCTTTTTAGATATTATTATGATATATTAAATTTCACTAAACATATATACATATACATGTAATATTATATACACATATTATACTAATTCTTGCAACATTGATACATGATCGTGTAAAGTGCAGAGAGCAACGATACAAGAGAAATTTCGAACTTGCCCAATTTTCCCAGGACCATCCCCAAGGAAACAACGATCAGAAGATATATCTAATAGTAGCGGAGGACGTACGCACTGAGGAACACGGAACAAATAAGTAAGGATTAGTTTAATCGTGCTTTAGGAGTCGAACGTTACGGGTTTATGTCGCTATTCCCTTTTTCGAGGGAAAGAAAAAGCTATAGCTCGTACACGATCAAATTTACGAACCAGTGATAATGTACGTAAAGAGATTCAATTGATATACAGGACTTTCGCTAAAAATCTATTTTCCCTAATAAATGCTAACTAAGCATAATTATTATCGTTTTATCTAATAATAAATAATTCTCCTTAGCAATTCGCAAATCTTACAATAATGTTCTACAATGTATTGCCTTCAAATGCACTTAAGTATTATATATTATATTTGAATATCAGCAGTAATCAGATACCGTTTCAAATGTAAACGTATCAAGATATACAAAAATATCCAACTATCAGATACCACTTATCGCTTTAATTTGTTTTACTCGCGTACATCGTGCGTAGGCATGTTAATCCAAACATGTCCGTAACGAGCATAGCGCTACGTCAAACAGCTAACTGCTTTCGCACGAAGGCACTGGGAGCGAACTTCGAGAAGCAGTTCGCAGGTACAGACGGTTAGCTATATCCAGTGTATATGTATACCTCCAAGCCGGTAAACGGAGAACGAAGTTCTCGGTAGAAGTTTAATTCAACTGGACGGGCAGCCGGGTGTAAACGCTGAATGATTTGTTGCAAATCGAAAGCGCCCCCGCGAGCTCGAACTTCAACTTCTTGCTCGTACGACTTACTTTATGCAACGTTGTTTATCGCTACTGGCTATCGAGCTGGTCATCGATATATTTTTATATTAATATTTTACGAATTGTTTTACAAAATAAATTACGCGCCTCGTAAAGTATAGAAATATATAAATAAAGAATTACTAATATTTTTTTTACATATGTTATACAGTACTACATTCTTTAGTTGAAATATTCTTTTACCATTATAGTTGAATTGACATTTGCGAAAAATAAATAAATAATTAAATAAAGCGTACAAATATAGTAAATTTATTTTTATAAATATAGTTCGCACAGTCGAGAATCTACCATCACCTTGCTAAATTTCTTGAAACTTTTTTTATTGACTATGCAACATTGTAAAATAATAAACGTTAATATTTTAACATTATGAAAATTGATAATTTTATTATTTTTTTGTTTCAAACGAGCTTTTTTGAAATAAAACAGTAATTAAATTAATGACAAATATCAACTAACTGTCTCAAAATTTACATTGATCCAATTCGTTCTGTGATCTTCGCCTCGATCTACCCTATCTAAAAATCAATTATTTAAAAATTATCGTGAATGAATCGTGTTCACATTTTTCTCATAATATTGATAAATCAATCAATAATAATTGAAGTATATAGCGCAACGCGCCATTATTGTAGATTGCACGAACGTTTTCTCGAAGTGATGGTTGGTTGGTTGAGTATCGAACATCGAGATCCTGTCGATTTTGTCGGGTAGTTTCGCGAAGCTGAGCATGCTCGCTCGTTTTCTCGATTAGGCTTTGCCGTCATTAAAAGTTTATAAAAAAGCCGAGGAACGAGAGGGGCAATGATGGGGGGGGGGGGGGGATGGGGAAGGAGGTGGTAGATGGTGGCTTAGCAACCCCAGAACGAGGAGGAAAACTGGCATGATAGAGTAAAAAAGACAGAAGCGTGAGAGTAAAAAGAGGGAGAGAAACGTGAGAGAGAGAGAGAGAGAGAGAGAGAGAGAGAGAAGGATGAAGAAAAATTCTAAGCAAGTTTTCTCATGTGCGATACATAATGAGAAGAGCCAGACGGCGTATAAAAAGCCTACAAATGAAGCTCACACATAAAAATTTACAAGTTACACATATATATTACATTGACGTAAATTCTTTAACATATTGGTGTAAACTTCTTTTTTATAAAAAATATTTTTTTTAATTTTCATAACATTGCACGATCATGTCGCTTACATGGAAAGAACGATTTTGCGGAAGTATTTAAAAATTTAACTAAATATATACACACATACATCTGAAAATAATTTTGTTGGATAAAAATTATGCAATTATAAAATTATTTTTAGATCTACATCTAATTAAATTTTTAGATACATCAGCAAAATCGTTCTTGTCATGTAAAAGTGAAGAAATATTTTTTATTGTATTTTACTGTATAAAACTGTATAAAATTATTAACAAGAAAATCGCGTAATTAATTTAACGTTATTTATAATTATTAAATAATCAATTAATGTTGGCTAATAGCTTTTTCTTAATTGTTTTAGTTATATCATTTATTACTCTAACTTTTTAAGAGTATACCTTGGTAAATAAAATTTTGAAGATGCTATGTAGTAATAAGTAAATTTTTTAAGATTTAAAAATTAATTACTTTGCATATCTAAACAAAAATTGTATATCGTTAATCTAAAAAATGCAAGGTACGTGCATTATAAAATATAGTGTATTTTAAATGTATCTTAATGCATAATTTTTAGTATACAATAGCATAAATCTTTTAAGATTTTGTTGATTGGTAGTCACAAACGTTGGTAACTAAAGATACGACACGCAATGCGAGTCGCGGTGCACGTAAACCAATTAAAGGTGTTAGATCGATCCTCCCTAGTAACTGACTTGTTGGGCTTCTCGATAAAAGCCTCAATCCTCATTTACGACGCTACATTTTTTTATGTAATTTATCAGTGAAAGAAATTATTTTATGTAATTTTATAAATGTGTAAAATAATAAGAAATTTTTAATTTAAATTAATAATGAAGCTGTTGACGACATTAAAATTACATTTTATTCCAATTTTAAGTCTTTGTATTATGATTATAATAATAAAAGAGTTATAAGCGCTTTCTAACTGTGTTACTTACCTTGTTCATGATTTGGCGGGGATATTCCCGCCTCGCTAGGGACGACTCTGCAAAAGAAAAGATATATCCATTACTCCTCTGACTTTTAGTAGAAATATAAAATACTTAAATATTTAGAAGTTTAGATAAATAAATGTCATTATTTGCATATAATATAAATATTTTAAAAAATTAATATTAATTAATTCTACTTTCTTTCAATGCAAAACAAATGTTATAACGTAAATTCAATTCGCTCGCGTAGATGCTTTATCGTATCGTGAATAATATAAAATTCTTAGTAAATAATTTTTTAACATAAGTCTGCTGCGTAATATTAAATAGAAATCAAGAAATTTAATGAAAATATTATCGGAAAGATATCTATTTCTTTTTGTACTTTTTATCCGTTCTCAACTCCATCGCCGCGCCTTGTGACGCAAGTTAATGCATGTAGGGTGGTCCTTGATCGTGCAGTCGAGCCCCAGCCCTTCCTCTCCTTTCCCTTCGACGGGTACTACCACCGAATTCCCATAATCTAATGAATGGCCTAACCCCAATATCCTCTCGGTTCAGCTTCACCGCCGCCCACTCTTCATATACCATCCTATATGTACCACGCATATAATGCTCCTAGCTATCCGCGTACACACACACACACACACTTCAAGTTCCTTAAAATTCTGCATCTGCCAGCTAATTGATTTTTTTAATCGTTTATGATCATGACTGCCCTTACTCGTGGTTTCTTCTTGAATGTCATTAAGATGAGAAGTAATTACACAAACGTAATTTATCGAAAATTTTGAAAAGGCATGACAAATATAAATCAAAGCATAATCAGTATCGGAAAAGTCATATTGACGATTTATAATTCTACTCGTGAAACGTTGACAGTTAAAATTGATGCGGAAACGAATAAAATTATATCTAGCTGTAAAAGCAGCAATTGCTGAGGTATTCTATGCGTAAGAAGCATGAACAGGGACTCACGTCGGCTAATTATGCGTTAAATAGGGGTGAAGTCGATGGCGAAATTCTTTCGTCCAGAAAATGGCCCGGACACGAGCTGGCGGTAGTCAGCGTTGATCCCGCGCGGCAGGGTAAGGACGCGCAAATGTGTTTATCTCGGGAAATAATAAAAAGGGTGACCCGAGGTTCGTGACGCGGGCGATCGCAACGAAGTCGGGAATAATGTCTCGGACACGAGGCTCGTCTGCGGATTTACCCCGGCCTCTACCGCTAACCATCCACCCACACTCCACCCCCTTTCGACCTCCTCCAACCTACCCTTATACGCGTGTCCGCCGCAGATTCAGACTCCTAATTAAGACGAGGGTGCGAGAGGGGTTTCAGGGGTTTCTGCCGGGTTCTCCCCTGAGGGGGCAGAGGATAGGTGGCGGGTGTATGAGTAGAAGGAGGATTTTCCCGAAGTAAGGGGCACCCGTATCGTGCCGGAGGGGTAAGCCAAGGCAAAGGGGGTAAGGAATATTGATCACGGGACCACCACGGTGGCGAGGGACTGCCCGCACTCGCCCTCTGCTTTCATCCACCCACTCTCTCACCATCTAACTCCTACAGCTTTCTCTTGGCTCTCTCCCTCTCCCTCTCTCCCTCTTTCTCTCTCTCTCTCTCTCTCTCTCCCCCCTCTCCTCTCTCTCTGTCTCTCTCGCTGTCTCTCACCTTCTACCTTGTTTCCGACATCTTTCGCCGATTCTCTCGCTCTGAAGCGAGCATGGACTGTGCCAGACTAAACCACCAAACGCCAGATGCGTGAAATCAGTCGGTTAGAACCTGCCCCGCAGCCTTTGCAAATTATTGACGCTAAAACCGCAAGGCAGATGATGCCTGTGCGCTGTTTCGTAGTGGACTTTGAATGAAGAGAGCCGGTAAGCTTAACGCTTGCGAAGAAGAGCAAAGTGAAAGCCTCTGGAAAAGAACTTCTTTGTTGAATCTTACTGATATAATTAGTTAGTTCGGTCTAACATAACATCACGTATAATAATGATCTTGTTAAGATAAAATATTCTAATAATTTCGAAATTGGAACGGTTACAATGATTATAATGAATTATATAATAAATTTTCGCGCACATAATAAATTATTGCCACATAGATTTATAAAATATATTTGAATTCTCTTACTCCATTTAATGAAACGTTTCGCTAACTTTGTGGAAACGTCTTCACATCGTGACAAGGTTTACGAAAGTCGCAATAAGACATGGCCCTCCTGAAGAGAATTTCTGACGCTGGAAATCCGAGTAGCCTGACGAACTTTGACGCACACGCTCGGCCGAACAAGATCTACGCTCTAGACGTGTGCAGCGTTCTCACGAGTTTTCAAGAGAGATCCTCTCGAATAGCGTGAAGGAGTAACTGACTTGGCTCGTTTCAAAGACGGGGACAGAAGACGGAGGTGAACAGGGGGACCAACGGGTGGGCTCGAGTTTACACGACGTAGCGACTCGTCTTTCTACCCGTCGCCTTGCCTTAATTAAATCTCTAGACCCTTCCTGAAGAACCCGCGGACCTGGCGGGAAACTAGAAGAACCGCCCCACCCTTTCTCGCTCTACAATTCACTGCGGTAACACGTCGTCTTCTATTGGTTTTTGCACGTCATTGCGAGAAATGCGCGATCGCATAGTGACCGTGATTTATACAGAATTTTTATCAATCTGCTTATTTCATTAGCTTAATTTGTTGTACTTAAATATCTTATTTTCTACAAATCATTTTATTTTTTTTCTTATTTTCCAAAGAACATTTTCTCATATCAAAAATATCACTACTGAAATAAGTGCCTATACGTTGTCATGTTCTTTTATAAAATTCCAGAAAAATTACGCAATAATCCGTTAAACTTTTATTCGATAGCGTGAATGTTTCCGGGCAACTAGTTTAATTAATACAGATTTTTGGCAGACAAATTGTTTCCATTCTGATAATTCTCAATGTTGATGAAAGCTGGAAATTTCTACAACGTATAACACATTTTCTCATATACTCTAGTGGCTTCAGATACCGTTATTTGGCGTTGTAACGAACGTCAAGGGCGACCTCGACGAGACCGGAAGAGACCTCATTGTCCAGAGGTGGGGGCGCCGATAGGGAGGGTGCGCAGCAGCGGCAGGCAGCCAACTCAAACTTTGATATGGTTTCCTAAATAACCAAGGCGACCGATACCGCAGCACGATAGTCCTCCTTCCTCCGCCACCCTCCACCTGCCACCCGTTCACCGCCTAGACCGATCTGCGGTGGTCCGGAGAGGGTACTGTAACTACCGCCGAAGCATATTGAAACCCTCGCACCAACGGTGACCCGACTCGCCACCCCTGGCAACCCCCACCCCGGCCAATCCGCGACCCGCCGTTCAGAACCGATACAGAGACTGCCGTCCGTGCAAAACTTGCGGCATGAGTGCGTTTGTCATTTCGTAGGTAAACGTTACCAACTCGCGACGCAGGCAGTAACGCTCAGCGTTTTCATAATGTCGACAGGTAGCGGTTAATTCAGGCACGGAGTGACAGGTAATCTGCAAGAGGACCAGGAAGATGGAAAAGGAATGAAGCTTGCAAAACCGGCGATCCTAAAGCCGATCGTGTTAAGTTCCCTTGGCAGGCAGAATATTACAAATCGTTGTACTTGGAATAAATAATATATGATCAATAGAAAAACTGTGTAATGGCGATACAAAGAAATATAAAGTAAACTATTGTATTTTTTATATTTCTTAACTTTTTCATTTACACACACACACACACACATATATATATATATATATATATATATATACGGAGAGAAAAGTTGGAAGAAAAAAATGTCACAATATTCTTGTATATTATAAAA